CCCCAAAACCCCAAAACCCCAAAACCCCAACTTAAGTTAAAATATTTGAATTTTTTGAGTAGAAATGGAAGTCATACAGGAACAGGAAAGGGAAGAAGCCAGTGACAGGGATTTTGAAGGGTGAGGGAGAGAGTGGGGGTATAGGGGAAGGGGGAGTAGGGGGTCTGGGGGGTTGGAGAGGGGGATTAGAGGGGATTAATGGTTTTATAGAGAGAATATTGAGAATTCGACTACCGGAAAAGAAATAAGGATTAGAATTTCAAAAGTACCAGTGGTTGGATCTGAGTAATTTTTTAAGGAAATTGTTACCTTTAGTACACAGAGTAGTAGTGGATGCGATAATCTCTTAATTTACAATATTGGTGAGTGAAATGTCCTAATTGTTGTCTAACAATCTAGATTTTCCTTCTCAAGACATTGATTGGTCCAAGGTTCAGCAAATGTACATAAGAAATCCGACCAATGAGACAAATAGTTTCTGTTTTATCCTTACAAATAAATCAGACCTTTTCCTCATGGGAAATTTCTCAAAATTAAAAACTACAAATTTTAAATATTGCAGCGTTATGCCTGAGAATATGTCAGGAGTATGGAAAGGCAAGATAAGCAACTTCATATGAAACTCTTCTTGCGCTTTACTCCTCTCCCAAGATGGGATGGTCTATTCCTGGGGTGCAGATATCAACCAAACCGGAGTCCTGGGTATTTCTAAAGGCATTCATGATCAATCAACTCCATGTCCTCTCCACAAATTGATAGACTACTCTATTAAAGATATCAAAATGACTGAAAATAAAGCTTGGGCAATAGATAGTAAAGGAAAACTATTCATCTGGGGTTCTTATGACATCACACAGCTCAACAGTTGGTCTAATATTATCTCGAACAAAATAATAATTCCTCAACCAATAATCGTCGATGCACTGTTAAAATATTTTGTGGTGAAAGCAACCCCATTTTCATATACAAAATCTGAAGAAACCAGCCTTAATATTTGCTTCAAGGCATATTGTAATAACTTTGAGGTAGGCTAGACTATGACATTTAGGAAAAATTATTTGGAGTTGTCCTTGGCTACAACCCCAAATGAAGCTCAAGCAGAAAAGAAGTATTCCTCACATCTTCATCCTTTGTTGAAACGAGATGCCGGCCGAAATATAATGTTGACTTGGGTAAAGTATCTTCAGATATGAAGTCCAAGACTGTGATCTCTCCCATAGAGCCAGTTCCGCAGATATATAATCGAAAGTTATTGCTAAAGAATATTGATGAATATATTTTCATCAATAGCAGAATGGTTGCTTTGTTGACTGTACCTGAAAATGACCAGGATTCTGATAATAAATATCCACATTTACTTATCTTGACAATTCCAGAGATTTTATCAGAAGAAACGGATCAAGAACCAGACTTCCTCCTCTATGAAATACCTTCGTCACTCCATCTTGTTGATCTTAAGAAGGCCAAATTCTTAGCAAGTGGAGAAAATCTCGTCTGCTTCTACGGAAGAGATGTAATCTATTGGCAAATCTGAGAAAATAATGATGAAGAGAGGGGACTTTTAGTAAATTATGGTCATTTAAAATTCACCCATCCAGTTCAAAATCTTTGCCCAGATGAGATCCAAAACATAATATACATATCTCCATCAGATAATCCTATGAGAGATAGCACAAAGGAGAATAGTCCCCTAAATAACTCTACAAGTGATTATGATAAATCTCCGCAACTAATTGAGAAATTATACAGAAGATATCTTGTTACCTATTACCCACCTCTTTTTGATGGTTACAGATACGAAGAGGAGGAATCTGATAATGAAAAAGATGATGTAGAGGTCATAATTGAAGAAGACACTGATAAATACTCTAAGCTCCCAGAAATTTTGAGTAATCTCTATACTAAACGGACTAAATTTGCCTATGAAGCTATAAAATTTTACTCAGAATCAATCCTTAAAGTTACTCGAAAATTGATCACGCTCGAGAATATTCTTACTTTCTCTAAAGATCATTTACAATCAACAGTCAACCAGACTAATAAATTCGGAAAATCTATGCAAAGAGCTGCGATACAAAAAATTCAAGATTTCTCTAAAAAAGTACATAGCTATAGAAATGGTTTCAAAATCTTAAAAAGGCTCTCTCAATACAGAGAAAAACATCAAGTCATTAAATACTGGTACAGATGGAAATTGTCCTATTTAAACATCCCACGTGTTGACTCTTTCGATAAGGTCAGTGATATCTCCTCTGTCATCGGTGAATCGAAGAGGAAAGTTATCAGATCTAACAAATTCTCACGGGTCTCCAAGAATCTTGAAAACTCTAGCTTCCAACAATTAAAAGAAAATTATTTCGAAAGAAACTCAAGTCACGAAAGAAGGTTCATCAAGAAAAATAAGAAGAAGCCTAATCTCTCAATGTATTTCTCAAAGGAGCCAAAGAGGTATATTTTGAAACTCAATTATAGCACTTACAAGAACTTTTTATCCAATGCATCTATTAGTAATGTTAAGACCAGGAATGAACAACAAGGTAGATTTGCTCATAAAATTATAGAAAACTTTGACAAGTCCATTGATGCCAGCAAGATAGAAGTTGAAGAGATTGAATGCATCATGGCGTCAGATGACTCCATATTTAATCACTTTAACCTGATCCAAAAGCAAGTTGAGTCAAGCAAATTGAAAGAATCTAGAGGATCAACAAAGCTTAAAAAGTCTAGAGATCTGACTTACGAATTTCATCGTTCATCTCATGAGAAAGAAAACTACACTTTGAATAACAATATCTCCATCATAGATTCTAAAAAGTCTTCTGATTGTAATTCTGATAAGAAGAAGTTATACCTGAAGAACAGGAGATTTGAGAGAAGACCTCATTATATTACTAATAGATCGAATAGTTCATCAAAACATTTCAATAGTGCTGCCTTCTCACCAGCTGAAAAATTCCCAGTCATGGATGAATCGACGCATTCAAGAGTTCCTGCTGGATCTAGGCCAGAACGAAGGAGATCTGGCAATTATTTCCATAATAGAAATATGTCTAACCCCATGAACAATGTGGTCACTTTAAACTACAAGACTACCTGTCCAAGCAATGCAAAGGCTACATCAAGATTATTGACTAACAAGAGAAATAATAGTGCTGTAAGGCTAATTCCTTAATTTTAGATGGGCTCTTATGCAGAGAGTAACCCTAATCCAAAAATAGCAAGCGTGAAATCACCTTCTTCAATAGAATGAACAACTGAACACTCTAAAAAGATTCATGATATTATGAAAAATTATAACGAAGAGAAAGCCAACTGAAATTGAACAACCTGAACATTCATGCGAAGAGATTTTAAATCAGAAGATTTTCACAGCATAGACCTTAGTTGTATCGAGAAGTCAAATTCCAACAATAATTTGCTAGATGATCCTTCTCAGATGTGAAAATATGTGAGGCTTCCAATAAAAGATGCTACAGAAAAGTTGGATGATAGTCCACTAATGATCAAGCTACTTACAGAAGAGTCCGATATATCAAATCCTCCCACTATCGAGAATCCGAGAGCTTTTCCCATTCAGCAGAAGGCAGATATCAGAGAGACTGCAAAGTTTAGCAGTATTTGTACGAAGATTAATAATTTCTCACAATTCCACAAGCACCAGCCTATAAAACACAAAGTAAGAGTTTACCTCTGATATTTTCAGAAAAAGACAATCAAAAGTTCTAAAAATATTCCCAAGCCTGCTGGGATTTCATCTGTTGCTATCAGAAGGGATAATATAAAGAGAAATAAGAGAAGGAATATATTCAAATCAAGCAGCGTACAGAAGCTAAAGAAATGAGATCCTCCGGATGCAGCTTGCCTCAGATAATAACAAAAATTTTAAAGCTATAAGTCATTCATAAATTATATTTTATTGCCAAAACTATCTTCTATTATGGTACAACATAGCTCAATAGTATCTCGTATTAGCTGTAGATCTCTCCTCCTCTTGTCTCTGAGATGAAAGTATCACTTTTCTAGCTGACTTGTAGTCTTGATAATCTCACGGTTGAGGCTCCCTGAAGTACGAATAGTCGCTTCAAACTTTTTTAGCTTATCATTATACTGCTTTATTAGAATCATATTCATTCCTGGTTTAAGAAGGGTTTTCATTGATTTAAAGCATGCTTTTCCTACACTTTTAGTCTTTGAAGTTTCATTATCTTGAGTATCGTCAAATAGAGGAGAATTTCCTTCAAATTTCATTCCTGGAATTAAAACATCTTGGCTTTCTTCCTTCTCCCTCAATGCTCCAACTTGCTTTGCTACTCTTAAAAGAGGAGCCATGGATTTATATTCAACCAAATGATGATCTGAAAACTGTTTATAATGCTTTGCTATTTCATTAATAGGCATAAACAGCCATCATTTCTTTCAAAACTTGATTCCCATCTTATAATCATAATTTTGCTCGAGAAAAGCTCAAAATGTTTGATACATCTCTTCATCATCAACTGTATTTAGCCATCTTGGTGAGTCAAAGAATTCCATTATTTTTTGGATGCTTTTCCTTGATATCAAAATCTGAGTTCCAACTTTTAAAGTCAATTTGGTTCTCTTTTTAGTAAAAAACGATGAACAATAAATCTAATTTCAACGTAAATCTTTCCTTGTGGGGTTTTGGGGTTTTGGGGTTTTGGGGTTTTGGGG